CATTCAATATTTATCAGACCCGAGAAAACGTATCAGTATATATAACACTTCTATTTATATCTCACCCATATTCATTTGGACTAATGACATCTGTATTCGCAAAATTCGAATTTATCAGGTAAAAGTAATACCTATACGCTTATTAGGCGTTCCATAAAAAATCTTGATATTTTTGCGTTCCATATATATATGTTTATTCTATTTATATCTCATACAGATACAAATACAAGTGGTGCGTTTTGTAAACATTGAATCTTGAAATAAATCGTGTATATTGCTGATTTACAAAGCAAAGGGTCGTGTATTAACAATATTTATTTCAATATTGAATTTTAGCAATTAATATATATGCATCATAATCATTTAAATGCGAACACGAATTACCAACTGTTGATCGGGACTATAAATACACATATTATTTTTTCCGGCATTTGATGCTTCTCATCGCACGGGAAAGTCCACAATTATTTTTCTAAATCTAGCCAATGGCTGTTGCTGTATCTCGACCCCATCATAAGGCAACCAATCAGAATGCATGTGTGATACATTATAATTTCAAGATGGCGTGGATATCGCCCGAAATTAAATCTTCGACCCTTCGGCCGAAGCAATAACAGTAGTGTAGTAAATATGCCATAATGAGATGGGGGGTATCCTTAGTGAGTTGACTCACAGTTTTATGCTTTAATACTATTTACACTCATCTGTGTCCACTTTGTTCAATGAGTTCTTATATAAATGAATTATTTTTGTAATGATTTTGATATTTCAGGTAACTGACATTTTAGTTGCTCTTATTTGTTTGAAAAGGGTGTATATAATATATGATCGATTAACTTTAAAAAAAAAATTAAAAATGTATACAAAATGTACTGAAAAACATAAAAATTTGAAATCAGAACAAATATGATGAGAGACAATATGCTATCTGTAAAATGAAGAAAAAAAACAATCGAAAAAGGGAATATAGTGCACTGATGATTTTGATACAAATATGGCTGGTTATTAATTTATAACAATTACAAAAAAATGTAAAGCCTTGTATTCAGTCAATACAGGATTATTTGATCTTGGACTTCGTCTTCAGTCAATATACTTCTTTCAGGTCAATATATCCTAAGTGTATCGACCTCATACAACAGCTATAATTGTATATAGATTAACTTTAAAAAAATCTTTAGTGCTTAGGCATTAACTTATTGCCTAGGATTTAAGCTTAACTATCATGCCTAATTTCACTTATTGCCGCTAACATATATATAGTATGATGTATTGATAAATAAAAAGTCCTTGGTACAGAAAATATAGTTTGAAAATAAATAACACATAAAAAATCACATTATAAATCCAACATTGTTCCTGTTAGCGCTTTCACCCCATTTCCTATGGTTCATCAGTTAGTCAGAATTTCAATGAATCAGGGAAGATCGATATATGGTGGATACTAGGTCAGGTTATTGGCAAGCAATATATGATTATTCATTCAGATTTGAAAAGAATAATATTTTTGTTCAATTTCCTTTTATTTAGGCCAGGAAAAGTTTATGGAAGGAGATTCAACGACATTCAGTCTAGTCCTGGACGCAGATGGAGTCGAAATAGATAATGATTTTTTCAACAGTTTAGAAGGAAATGTCATCCTCATGCTACTTAAAACAGGGGAGACCTGGGAACCACAAGGTAAGACTACGTCATGCATGCATGTACTCATTGGCTCATATTAAAAAAAAATTGGTCCCATATATAGCCAGAAACTGCCATAAGAGGGGACCCACTCCAGTCATGCTTCAGTGATTCCTATATAAGACTAATTAAAGCCCTGTGTATTGATAATTTGTATTTTTTACTCAGGCCCAAGGGGGGTCTTTGTACTCTATAAAGATGCTCAGTCTGGTTTGCATAAAGGTTAATCATTTAAAATTTATTATTTCAGCATGACACAAAACAATGTTGAAAACAGTTTTTCGTGTTTTAATAAAAAAAAACTTCTTGCTAAGCAAACAATTTTAGTCTAAACTTCTTAATATTTCTCATCAGGCATTAATATATACCAGTCAAAAAAAGTCATCGCTAATTGATATAGTAGCTTGTGAAAAGAGACTTACCGGAACTAAAATAACCTATCATCTTCATACATTTTTAACATTGTCTTTTGTATGTAAACAGAAGCAGTCCATCTGGTACCCTGGCTCATTCCAGCTAACCATGCAGGAACCCATGCTTGAACAGCATGATTTCCCAGTTAGATCAGTTATATATACAGAGAACCTTTAAAAATTTGTCAATTGCCTTACACATCCAAAATATAAGGGGGAAAAGTAAGGAACTTCATGTTTTGATATTTATCGATTGAACCTTTACCAATTGTTATAAAATTTTGCCATTCTTCATTATTAGTTATAACTACTAATAGCCTGAGTTTCTGACTTTTTGTCACATGAATCTTGTTTTAATGTATTTTGTGCAACTTAAGTCCCACTTTGTCCCATGAATCCCTTTATTTTCTATCATCATAAAATGCCCCTTTAATCTTTATATGCAAGAAGGGACAACATTGGTGTCAGTTAGGTGCTTTATAAATGAAATTAGACTATTCATTTATTATTTTTTTATTGTAGACAATAAATTCAATAGACATGAAAGAGTAACTTTAAAATCAGAAGGTTAGTACAATTAACTAGTAGACATGCTCAAATAAAAGGTTATTAGTCCCCTACCAACGAAGTTGAAGGGGACTTTAGGTTTGCACTCTGTCCGTCTGTCCGTAATCAGCTTTCCACACTTTTTATTTTTTGTTATGCTTGAAGATATTGGTTTGATATTTGATATATAGTATAACCATGACAAGTTACATATCAAGTTCTAATTTTGTTTCTGTCAGATGATTTTTTGCAGAGTTATGGCCCTTGGACTTAGAAAACTCACATAAGTTATCTGTTTTCCATATTTTGTTTTTTAATGCTTCAAGATATTGACTTGAAATTTGGCTTGTAGTTAAACCATGACAAGTTAAAGATCTGTTGCAAATTGTGTTCTGGTCTGATGATTTTTTGCAGAGTTATGGTCCTTGGACTTAGAGAAATTCATGCAAGAAATACATTTCCACTATTTTTTTGTCATACTTAAAGATTTCCATTTGATATTTGGTTTATAGTTTTAACGTTACAAGTTAAAGATCAAGTTTAATTTTTTTTTCTGA